GTGTGCGTGTGAGTGTGTGTGAGAGAGAGTGAGTGTGTGTGTGTGTGAGTGAGTGTGTGAGTGAGTGAATGTGTGTGTGAGTGTATGAGTGTGTGTGAGTGTATGAGTGTGTGTGTGTGAGTGTGTTTGAGTGTGTGAGTGAGTGAATGTGTGTGTGAGTGTATGTGTGTGTATGAGTGAGCGTGTGTGTGAGTGTATGAGTGAGCGTGTGTGTGTGAGTGTGTGTTTGAGAGTGAGTGTGTGTGCGTGTGAGTGTGTGTGAGTGTATGAGTGTGTGTGTGTGTGTGTTTGAGTGTGTGTGAGTGCGTGTTTGTGTGTGAGTGTGTGTGAGTGAGATTGTGATTGTAATATGACGTGTGTGTGTGTGCGTGTGAGTGTGTGTGTGTGAGTGTATGAGTGTGTGTGTGTATGAGTGAGCGTGTGTGTGTTTGAGTGTGTGTGAGTGTGTGTTTGAGAGTGAGTGTGTGTGCGTGTGAGTGTGTGTGTGTGTGAGTGTATGAGTGAGCGTGTGTGTGTTTGAGTGTGTGTGAGTGTGTGTTTGAGAGTGAGTGTGTGTGCGTGTGAGTGTGTGTGAGTGTATGAGCGTGTGTGTATGAGTGAGCGTGTGTGTGTGAGTGTGTTTGAGTGTGTGTGAGAGTGACCTTCATCTCGGTGAGCTGCAGGACTTCGGGGAACACCTCGATGCAGTTGGAGTGAGCTGCTAGTGTGTGCATGCGTCTGCAGTTCATGATGGTGGTTGGCACCGCCTTCAGCCTGTTCCCACTCAGGTCCAGCTCCTCCAGCTCCTCCAGCTTGGCCATTTTACTGCAGAACAGAGAGAGAACATTGATTTGATGAATATATTCATTCAGAAACGTCCACGACTCAGTTAACACTGAGAGAAAGAGGAAGTGACAAACTACACAGACACCGTCTAGAAAAGATCCGCCCACAAAATAGTGTTTCACGTTAATATTTTAATATCAAGCGGTGTCATAAAAGTGAGTAAAATGAATCAATCATCAGTATCAGTTTGTGAATAAAAATAAAAATCATAATTTCAATGTGAGATTTGTCATAGTTGCTTTGCATTTTAAGCAATGGAAAATATTTCGTTGAAAAAATGGAAACCTTTAGAAGACTTTAAAAACCTGAAGAAGTCTTTAAAAAGAACTTTCACATATAACACCTATATGACAATAATGATTGAATTAAAAAAAAGAGTATCAAAAGTAAAGACATCCTATGATATTAAATAAAACTGTTAAAATACATAAAATATGTGTGGCCATCAGGCTGTTTTATACTGCATAAGAGACTAAAAATCAATAAAAAGAAACATTAGGCATTAACATCACACAAATAATTTTGACTAATGTTTCTTTTTATTGATTTTTAGTCTCTTATGCAGTAAGACTTCAGAAAAGTATAGTGAAGAAGTCATTACTGTATTCTTAAATCATGACATGATTATAATATTGCTTATGTGCATGAAGTTCCTGCCTAATGATTGTTGTTACACTTTACAGCATGATATTAATTATTAAAATCAAATCCTTATTTAATGTTGGTCAAACTGTATTGAATTCAAAAGGTCCCATAACTTTATCTTCACTGCTTTACAACAGAAATGCTGCAGCTGCTGTAATTTCAATCATGTGAACATAAAAATGTGAAAAAACAAAGCGGATGTTAGGACTTTTATTTTGAAGTTGTGAAATATAATTGATGGAAACATACTAATTGTAGTATTCACATGTTTACATAACGGAAGAGAGCGTTTTCATTAACGTCTTCTTTACACTAAATAATATGCTCTGGGTGTTGAAGTCGTGAACAATTCCAAAGAACGCAAGTTTGTCATGATTTTCCGGCTTGTGCGTAGAGTTCAGTGCAAAGACTCGTTATTGATCCAGTGGACAGTAATTGCTGAATGATGCTGTTACCTGGCTGGGAAGGTCTGCAGGTGATTGTAGGCCATGTGCAGGATCCTCAGGTGTGTGTGTCCCGTTAGCTGCGGCACACACCTGTCGGTCAGGTAGTTGTTGGTCAGGTAAAGCTCCTGCAGGACGCTGCTGCTGTCCTCTGAAAGGCTGGATGCCGGCAGATTCTCCAGCTTATTAGCTGATGCGTTCAGACACCTCAAACTAAACACAAATCACATGATATTCAGAGCCAGCTGAGACGGAGGCTGTTTCACTGAATGAAATATGACATTAACATTCAACATTTACTTCTTACTAATGTGTTTTAGTGTGTGTGTGTGGGTGTGTGTGTGTGTGCGTGTGTGGGTGTGTGCGCCTGAGTGTGTTTGTGTGCGTGTGTGTGTGTGTGTGTGAGTGTGTGTGTGTGTGTGTGTGTGTGTGTGTGTGAGAGTGTGTGGGTGTGTGGGC